CTTCACCTAGACTAAGCCAGATGAGTTGCAGGGGAGAATGCCCTAATATGTTATTTCTGATGTTATCATTGTGAGGAAACGTCTTCAGAGTTGATAGGGAAAGTAAGTATTATTTTTGATTTCATTTATTTTTTTATCTACTGTTTTAAATTTTTTTTTTTATTCAGGAGTTACTGGGTGTATTTACCTTGATTATTTAATTTAAGCTCTTCGTATAATTATTTGTTTTCTCCATTTCTGTAATTATTTTATTTCTGCAACTGTCTTTATTCAGTTTTTAGTTCACCATAAAAAAGATCAATTAACTTCTACTCCCACCGTTTTGAATAGTGGTAAGCAGGTGTGCAATACAAAAATGTACTTGATATACCGCAGACACAAACCACATGTATGATATACTATGTATCTGTTATGGTGTAAGATAAATTAACATATATAAGTCACTGTGAGTTTGAAAAAAACTTTCTGGACATGCAACAGCAGCCTGTCTGTTATGAAAAAAAGAACATGTTGGTTATACAGACATCTCGTCGTTTACAGAACTATACAAACGTAATTTCTTTTAACATATTCTTACATTACAAAAAACTTAACAGTCAGTTAAAGCTCTGCTCTGATTTATGTCTCATGGTAACTTGTCGTCATAGAAAAATACTGTTACAACAGAGATATTAATCATATTGTGAAGACACTGAAAATGAATATCCTTTCATTTTATGTGGCCTTATTACACTGTCCCCAGGAAAAAAGTTCATAATCCGTATTTCTTTATTAGGATTCGCCTTTCAGATAAATGCGTCTAGTGATAAAGTGCTGTTAGTACTGATTGTGATATTTAGTACGCATTATCAAACCTGAAATAATTCGGCAGAAGAGATAGATTTGGGAACGGTAGGCGCATTAACTGTAGTTATATTAATCTATTTTTTATATACCAATATAAAGACTAAGATATCACTTCAACTAAAATTTCTAAAAAAAGAACCGTTAGAGCATAATGGTCTTGATTAGAACTAAACTATACTACACTGACTAAATATACTATGCTACACTGACAAAGCTTCTCTAAAACTGTACTAAAGTTACCCATGGTGCAAGCCTCTCGAAAACGAATCTGCTGAAATCAACAGTAGCGTGTTGAATGTGACATTAACATGCGCTGCTTAATGGCAAAAGCAGTAACATCGGCCTAGGTAATTCTTCACGACGCGTTCCCAATGAAACTACCGTACTAGGCAGAATAGGTTCTGGTAGACAGATCGATCCAACTCGGCAGGATTTTCGATGAATGCAATCTGATTAACACCACTCTTCTTGTTTCTAGCGTACGCGCATAATAAACAGCTTTTATGCATTGTACTGAGCGCAGGGATAAAGAGTTGATCTTGTCATCTATAGCATTCATCAAGAATCCCCGCCGAATTGAATCGATATACTTAATCAATACGCACCCTTAGACCGCATTCAGATTCACACACCATACAAGCTGGGTCGACCCAATTCTGCCGGGGATTCTCACTATTTAAAGCACAACCATCTTGATCAGCTTAACTGTTTGACACCCCTCCCTGAGCAGCTGGGGGTAATTAACCGTGAGAGCATGAAGCTCTTTCCATTGATTGCACTTTAGCATGAATCTGCCGTAAAATTGAACCGACCCAGCTAGTGCGATGCGTTAATCTGAATGCGCCCCTATTTTCATCTTATTGCATGGCTATTCAAAAGACATCGAAAGGCTAACTCCAGAGTATAATTCAATTTTGTCTTACAGGGTGTCCCAAATATGTATCTGTAGAATATCTTTTTTCAACCAAATGCATTTTACAACCGGTCTGTATCCACCCCAGAGACAGCCCCAACCTAAAAGCACTGATCTTAGGGCGCATTTCCATAGATTTTAGATCGATCTATCCCCGTCTCACTAGATTACTGTCAGATAATCCGGCTTAAATGTCCGTCCCACCTACTACAATCTGTAAGGGGATAATTAACAAGGAGTTAGGTTGATCCAGTTGGATCGATCTAATCTCTGGGAATGGGGTCTTAGAGAGGGCCCATTCACATTCCTGATAACACATTAATCAATCCCCAAAGTTTAAGGGAGCATTCAGATTCATACACTTTACCAGCTGGATCGATCCAACTCTGCGGGGATTCTCGCTTAAATACAGCCATTGTTATAAACTTGATTGTCTGACATGCCCCCCTCGAGCAGTTAAGGGCTAATTACCTTTTGTATGTGCTCAAGAGGGGCGTGTCAGACAATTGAGCTGGTTACATTGACTACACTTTACCAAGAGTTGGATCGATCCAGTTGGTACGTTGTTTGCATCTCAATGCCCCTTCCTCCGTCCTCACTGGCCATGGTGCACTATTACTTGTCGTTTTTCGGGTATTGTGAACACAGCCTTACTCTCGACGTGGTTGTTTGTGCGGTTATCCATTCCCCTGTCATAAACATTCCACATAGCAGGTGGGAAATTCCCGTTCATATAATTATTTTGGAAGTAATTAATGAAATTTGTCAATGTAAAAGTTATAGAATAATTGCATTTCCAAACAAACTATGTTGTTGTTTGCACAGCCCACTCCCCTACCCTCCCCCCCCCCCCAAAAAAAAAAAAAAAAAAAAAAAAAAAAAAAAAAAAAAAAAAAAAAAAAAAAAAAAAAAAAAANTGTTTAACTGTTTGACACCCCTCCCTGAGCAGCTGGGGGTAATTAACCGCGAGAGCATTAAGCTCTTTCCATTGATTGCACTTTAGCATGAATCTGCCGTAAAATTGAACCGACCCAGCTAGCGCGATGCGTTAATCTGAATGCGCCCCTATTTTCATCTTATTGCATGAATATTAAAAAAACATCGAAAGGCTAACTCCAGAGTATAATTCAATTTTGTCTTACAGGGTGTCCCAAATATGTATCTGTAGAATATCTTTTTTCAACCAAATGCATTTTACAACCGGTCTGTATCCACCCCAGAGACAGCCCCAACCTAAAAGCACCAAACTTAGGGCGCATTTCCATAGATTTTAGATCGATCTATCCCCGTCTCACTAGATTACTGTCAGATAATCCGGCTTAAATGTCCGTCCCGCCTACTACAATCTGTAAGGGGATAATTAACTTTTGTGCCCGCTCGGCCGACGGCTATTTAGCGTGAACCCCCAAGGAGTTAGGTCGATCCAGTTGGATCGATCTAATCTCTGGGAATGGGGTCTTAGATAGGGCCCATTCACATTCCTGATAACACATTAATCAATCCCCAAAGTTTAAGGGAGCATTCAGATTCATACACTTTACCAGCTGGATCGATCCAACTCTGCGGGGATTCTCGCTTAAATACAGCCATTGTTATAAACTTGATTGTCTGACATGCCCCCCTCGAGCAGTTAAGGGCTAATTACCTTTTGTATGTGCTCAAGAGGGGCGTGTCAGACAATTGAGCTGGTTACATTGACTACACTTTACCAAGAGTTGGATCGATCCAGTTGGTACGTTGTTTGCATCTCAATGCCTCTTCCTCCGTCCTCACTGGCCAGGGCGCACTATTACTTGTCGTTTTTCGGGTATTGTGAACACAGCCTTACTCTCGACGTGGTTGTTTGTGCGGTTATCCATTCCCCTGTCATAAACATTCCATATAGCAGGTGGGAAATTCCCGTTCATATAATTATTTTGGAAATAATTAATGAAATTTGTCAATGTAAAAGTTATAGAATAATTGCATTTCCCAACAAACTATGTTGTTGTTCGCACAGCTCAGTCCCCTACCCTCCCCCCCCCCTCAAAAAAAAAAAAAAAAAAAAAAAA